TGGGGGGTACATATACCAGCTCCCTAAATATATTTATAAAAATCGAATTAATTCATATTACATTCGTGCTATCTAATCATTCTAATCCTAACCCTAACTATTTCTCTAATAACGATGCAGTATTACGCAAAATAATATTATTAAAGAAAAGACAATATTACATAAAAACAGTAAATCTACACCAGCAATTACGATAATTATGGTGATTCCAATATAACACAGCTCAACTATAGCAGTGACTAACATAACACAGTACAAAAGAACAAAACCCACCAGTGATTTTCCAACAACAACGACTTCAAAACAACACCAATGATTCTCCAACTATGGCGATTTCAACACACATAACGTAGAGGCACTATAGAAAAATCTATAGAAATAATAATATTAGCAATCAGGAATAGAGAACAATAAAAAGAAAGAAATGAAACAGAAAAGAAGAAATGAAATAAAAAGAAACAAAAAAGAAACAAAAAAAGAAACAAAAGAAAGAATGAAAGAAATAGAAGAAATAAGCGAAAGAAAAAGAAGAGAATAAGAAGAATGAAATGAATACGAAGAAACAAAGAAAGGGAAGAAACAAAAGAAAAAGGGTGAAAGAAAAGGAAAAGAATAAAAGAAAAGAGACGAAGAAAAAGGAATGAGAGAAAAGAAACGAAATGAAAGAAAAGAAACGAAAGAAAAGAAAAGAAACAAAAGATAAAAAGAAAAGGGATAAAGAAAAGGGACGAAGAAAAAGGAATGAGAAAAAAGAAAAAAAACGAATAAAAAGAAAAGGAACGAATGAAAAGAAAAGGAACGAATGAAAAGAAAAGAATGAAAAGAAAAGAGACAAAGGAAAAAAAAAGGGATGAAGGAAAAAAAAAGGAATGAAGAAAAGAAAATGAGCAAAGGAAAAGAAAAGGAACGGAGAAAAAAAAGAACGAAAGAAACGAAAGAAAAGAAAAGGAACAAAGGAAAGAAAAAGAATGAAGAAAAAAGAATGAAAAAAAAAGAAAAGGAACAAAAGAAAGAAAAGGAACGAAGGAAAAAAAGAAAAGGAACGAAGGAAAAAAAAGAAAAGGAACGAAGAAGAAAAAAATGAAAAGGAATGAAGAAAAAAAATGAAAAAATTTCTTATATAATGATCCTCCGGTGTGATTATACGTTACACAAGGGTATGTTATCGACCGTGATATGTAAGTAGCTCTCATAACTTAATGCCGAATAATAAGTTCCAAACCGGAATATTTTCTGAAGGCTCAAAATTTCTTTTTTTTTATAATTTTTTTTAAAAAAAAACTTGGGAACATTTCCGGAGCAATATCAATATCGATACATTAATTTATATTATGCAAATTTCAGTTCGGAACATGGTCTGGATGGGTTCGACTTGTTCGGAACAAAATCGGAATATATCTGTAAAAATTTTTTTATAGGGTGAACTGGCAGACTATTTCTGTCATGTTAGTCAAATAGATTTTGGCAAGTCAACCCTGAACCATCAATAACAAATTGTTAAACATTTATAACTAAATAAGAAGGACGCAGAAATTTGCTCTACTTAAAATAACATACTTAAAAAGCTACACCTACCTACTGTCAATTTTAACCTTATCCTTATGTTTAGACTACATATCAAATTCAAAAAAGTGAACTTCGATCTTATAAATCCGAATATTCTATATAAAACAATATACATAACAACCGAACTCCCTTAATATATATCCTTTATCCTTGTTATAACATTAAATGTTAGTAAATAAACATGTAATTTATAAAAATTTTAATAGTTTGCAAAACTACTATATAATTTATATTACTCAAAGCGTTTGAAATAGTAAGATCATTATGTCCTGAATCTAAATATATTTACAATTAAACTTTCGATATTTAATTAAAAAATAAAAATTATAATTTTTAAATTCACATGATTTATTGACTTCACGCTGTAAGCTTGCATAATTTCTGATATACTTACAGCTACTGGAGTTAAAAATAAGTGATACGTAACTGCCACATATAATAATTAATTAAGAATTAATTTTTTTTCGATCATGGTGTATTACATTTTAATTTTTAGTTTCACTAGTCCCATCGCTACTACTAGTACACATAAAGTTTGGATGTTTTTGTAGCTTACGATGTTTTAATCTCTTGCGTATTGATAAGTTCACCAGTAAATTTTAGAATCGAAATTTCTTGATGTAATTGAAAATGATTAAATTATTTGATTAATTCAAAACTTTCTGGTTGTTTGATCATTCATCGAGCTAGCTAATGGATTTTTCCAAGAAAAGATCATAATTTTGGGGTACTTTCCCAACCCTTCGGTATATTAAAATTTCACTTCAATTTTTGTAAATTTGTTTCAATTTTTTTGGTAAATGATCGATCTGCTTTGCACCTTTGATATCCAGGCATCATCAAACTAGCACAGAAGAAACATTTAGCAAAATTGATGAACCTGTGATGAATTTATATTGAGTGAGAAATACCATGCGTGGTCAGCACATGATAATTATTCCACGGGTCTTATGTAATAACCCGTGCTTTTTTCACTTGGTTATTGCACGGGATTGTATGGGCATATGAATAACTCGTGGCCTTCGGCCACGGTTATTCACTATATACCTATACAATAACATGTATTAACTACATGATTAATATATCTTAAACTAATATTGTATTTTGGTTAAAAAATTAACAAAAACTATGGGTAATGCTAATCTAATGTGGGCTAATTTGCTTGCTCTCTTTCTAAATGAGTTGTATTATAGCATGAATTTATAATTTTCTTTGCAAAAGCATTAAGCCAATCCACTAAAATAAATAACATCATTAATTTTTAAATTTATATAATAAATATATATTAATCTAATTATATAAAACGCTCTTGTTTCTATACTATCTAATTATCATATGTTTAGAATTATAATTTAACCAGAGACTATAAATTAGTGATAAAACATTATTAAAAAGAATTATAGAACTTATTACAAGTGTAAATAATGGAATACTACTATATGTAACTACTCTAGTATAGTAGATAACCTATTGTTAAATACAATATAATGTTAAATATAATATAAAATGAAATGATTAATAAATTTTTTCTAACAAAAAAGCAAATATAAATTAAATTTACATACTTGAATAATAAATTGTGAAATATCTTTAATAATAATATTAAGAATTGTGCTATAATAAATCCATATTTCAGCTTTTTCAGAGAATGAAGCAGTAAAAACTTTGAAATTACCAATTTGTGAAGTTAAAAGATTTAAAGCTTCAACATTAGGACAAGATAATAATGTACAAATTGATACAACTTTTATATTTCCTACAAACCAATTACGAAATTCAAAATTGGAATGAATTTCATTCATAAAAATTATAAATATAAAACAAAAATTAAGAAATATGGATATAAACAAAATAAAGATACTATTTTAAATAAATAAAAAATTAAATATTTTACAATATGATGATATAATAAATAAAACAAAATTATTTAATAAAATAATTTTATAATTTATCAAACCTTGGAATAAAAAGTTCTGGAACATCTTGCCCATTATCAACAATAAATCCAATATCAAGAACAAAATCAACTATTATTATTACAATTTGAAATATAAATATATTATTACCCTATATATGAAAATTTGAACAAATTAAAATCATATATAAAGAAACATACAAAAATATATAAATATTTTACCATAATTACCTTTGAATTCTTTCTTCTAGCCAAAAAATAAATAATACTTAGTAAAGAAACTGCTATAATTATAGCTACAAATACATATTTGATTTTATCCCAAAGTTTTTCTATATGATTAACAAATAAATTTATATATATTTTATTATAAATAAAAATTATATGAATAATATTATTTTTTTTACCTTTAACTTGAAATCCATAATTACTATCAAAGTACTTTGTATAATTATAGCTAAAAAGTGCACTTGTGTCTTTATTTTTAATCATATCATCTAAATCATTTATAATATCATGTACACTTGGCTCATTTAAAGGATCCATTGCTTTTACAACTGAAAATTCAACTAAAAGTTTTGTATGAGAAGAGTCTGATTGAATACTTCCGGTCATATATAACCTATCACTATTAATAGGAATACTGGATATAATTTGTTGATATAGCACATTCTTAATTTGTTGATATAATGTCCGATTCAAATTTAATCTTAGAGTCGCCTCTGTAGAATCTAGATATTTAAAATTATAAAATAGTAAATAATAAATTTATACAAATAATATATTTATACAACTGATAAATATAATGAAGTTTTATATTAACACTAATTACCAAAGACTGTTAAGTTATATGCTGAAAATTTATAAATAAATTGAATTAGTATTTTATCAAAAAACAATTTACAATAAATAATTTTTTTTTAAAAAAATGCTAATACTTGCATTCTGGAGTCTTAACATGCCAAATATCATGTTTGATTCCATTTAATGGTTCATTAAATGATAAAGTTAGAACAAAATTATTATCTAAAACAATGGTGTATATGCTATCTATTCTATTAAAAGTACTTAACAAGACTTTACATGTTACTTGAATATTATTTTGACTTAAAGTGCAATTTGATGCAGGATAAGTTTGACGTAATAAGTAATTAGATTCATTGATGACTTGATAAATAATAAGATTTCCAGTTGATAAAACAATCGGAGTAAAAAAAGTAATTTTGATATTCATATTATTTTTAGAGGAAAGAGATGTCAATGTTGTATTTTGTTTTGGTTGAGTAGATAAAATTGCAGGATTATTAAAACCATCTAAGAGACACAAAGTATAAGTTAGTAAACATAAGGGTAAATTATAATAATGAATTAAAAGACTTACAATCTTTAATAAATTGTTTCGCATCTTTGGTGCTAATAAACCAATTTTGTGAAAGAGGAATTTCCATAGCAAGCCAAACAGTGTTATTATCAAAAACACCAGAATCACGTAGCTGAGTATTTTCTGGAATTTCAAAGGAATCGCATGAATTAATGATATTACAAATGTATATAGGTTGTTCAGGCACATTGTCATAATAAATATAGCCACCAAATTTTAGTGGCATAAATATTGCACCAGCACCAAAAATTCCCAAAGATGAATTAATAGGATTTGCAGAAACAGTTTTGATAATCGAGTCAGAGGTTGAGGGAAGATTTGAAGAACGAATAGTTTGTACAGTGCCCGTTTCGATAACAGAGTCAGGGGTTGAGGAAAAATTTGAAGAACGTGTAGTTTGTATAGTGCCCGTTTCGATAACAGAGCCAGATGTTGAAAATTTAATAAATTTTGTAACTCTAAAAGGGAAATTGTTTTTCGGAGCATAGAATGATAAAGCTATAAAGCAAATGCTACTTTGTGTATCATGCGAGGTAAAACCTGCTTGACATTTAAGTATACCAGCACTTTTTAACATCTTATCATAAGATTGAAAAATCAAAATCTGTTGATTAAAACCATCTTTTATAATATTCACATATAGGGACATCACTGGATCTATAGGGTTGTATGTTGAATTATTTGGAATGCTAGATCCTACAAAAACCATATATGCAATTGCATAATAACCATCAATTGTATTAAATACTAAGGAATCGGTAATAACATATCCATCATCTGCGTTAATAGTATTATTTGATTTTAATATCATATTTTTTTCATTTCTATAATATAAATGTTAAAATGTTAAAATTATAAAAAGAGTCCTATGAAAGATATTAATTATTAATACTTGCGTGAATAAATATTTCATCCATATCAAATAAGTCATATTTGGTTTTGATATGGTCAAAAATTCATTTGAGAAATAATTGTATGTTGGCACATATGCATCAGATGAATAATCCTGGCTATTTGAAATATACAAATAATAAAGATTTCGATGTTAATATATAACATGCTGTTTGCATTTACGAATATTATAATTGAATGAATTTAGACCTTGATATGAAAGTTCCGTGCCAATCAATGATAACACCACGATATATGTTATTGGTGTTACACTTCATAAAAATATAATTTGTTGACAATGGATAACTTTCTGTGAAATTACAGTCATTACGATTTGGTATGCTCTCATATATAACAGGAATGATACTCCCATTCGTAAAGAAGAGATATAAACCAGCTTTATTATCATTGCTATAAGAATATGACGAATTAGAAGTAGTATTCTGGGTCATTATCAGAAGCGTACCATCGTCGTACTGTTTTACACTTTCTAAAGACCCATACATTGAAATGGGAAGCGTAAAGTTAGATGTAAATTGAGAGTGAGCTATGAAGTAATTTATCGATATTATATAAGCAATTATGAAATAATAGTGAAGGACCCTCATGGTGCTATAATGTCTGGCTCAAAGTCTAAAAAAAGATGGAAATTTTTTTGTAAAAAATTTAGCATTTAAACTATAAGGCTTTTAAGTTTATATGTTAAGGAATTGAATCTAGCTCAGGAAAATTAGCTAGTGCAATTTTCAAGATGTTTGACTACAACCAATTTTAGTATGGTGAGAATTTCGCCAAATGTATCAGCCCCGTGATCACCAAGCCATCCGGACTTAATTTAAACTGTACGAATAACGATAAACATTTCTCCGAATTGACTTATAAATCACGGGACCTACATCAATTACAAGTAGCCAAGTCTGATTTGTCAATTTTTTATAGAACTACCTGTGATTACTGTACCTGTGGTGATTTATAACCATAGCAAAACGACTAATGTATTACTATCTATTATCTTATTATCTATGATTGATAAACCCATATACGTTACAAGAAACAAAATAAATTCAGAATCCTCAGTCGCGACGAATCAAGTTAAGCAGTTAGCAATAAAGTTTATTTAGATGCATAAGCTTAGCAAACCTTTAGCAAACACATTTCATTTACCAACTAACTTTCACATTATTTTGTACGTAATAATTTCGAGTACGGATCAATTAACTATAAAATTTGTCGGGAATTTGGTGGTCTTTTCTTTTTTGATAGTGAGCGTTAGCACTTTGTATATTTGCGGTAATTTTTTTATTAGTGAAACGTTACATTCTCAAAAGTGTTGCTTTACATCAGCCAATCAGGAAAATGACATTTATTGGATTTACTTATTTGTGCGAACTTAAAAAAGGAAATTTAGATAAAAATAAATTCCTTAGTACGCACATAACGATAAGCTTACTATATGGGAATAGTCAAACAAAATGAGTCTTTGTGAGAACATGCAATTACAATTATCTTAGTTAAATCAACTTATTGCATAATTTTTTTTAGACTAAATGTAGGACACAACTTATTTATTTTTCATTTTGGTTGACAACGCCTAGTGTAAGCAGAAGTTCGTTTGTTTGGTTAATGTTTATAGATTTACTAATCAAATTACATAACAATAATTCAGAATTTGTAAAAGATTCATCATTTTAGTGTCAAAAACAGAAAAAAAAAACCACATATAAAGAAGCTTATAACTTAATAAACCCAAATTTATATTAAAATTTATTATGATTGGCCAACCCGAACATGCAAGAACCGATCATATTTAACTTATTACTACTCAAATTATAATAAAAGTTTAGTTAAGTTAAACCTATCAATAACCAAGCAGGTTTAAACAAAACACTTCCAATTATTTTATTCTAACTGTACAATTTAATATGGTCTACTTAGTAAACGATAGGCATATCCTTCTTTAAGCAAGGATCTTCGAATATTTTTGGAATCTTTGCACTGTGAACGTTGACACTTCATTGAAATGATGTTTTCTGTGATTCTTGCTAGTGAAACATTATGTTCTCAAAAAGTACTTTAAAATAAATAAATAAGTTAGCTGGACAATTGTCAATCATACTAACTTCTTATGAGCAACAAGGTCAATGTCAAGTTGATCCGGGACAATCAAACTTTGAATTCATCCCTATAAAAAAATCTTTTGGAATCATGAAAAACCGTATAAAAATAAACCCCTGTTTGGAAATTCGACTCCATTCCATTTTAGAACAAGCATTTTTTATAAGGTAAATATTGATTGTTTCTTTAGGAGTTTGTATTTCCAGAACGGCGCCTCACCGACAATTATTTATTTCATCGGCGCCTTCGTTCCCGACATTTTCGTTTCTGGCACTTCATTTCTCTGACAATTATATCCAAACACAGCAATAAGTAATGCATGGTGGTGTCAGATATATGACTGAGAAAACATTTAGTTACTCAGTAAAGCTTTTAGATTAAATGCTACATGAAAATCAGTATAAAAAAATTCAAGTTTGAAATTTTGTGCACAAAGCGTACATGCTATCTAACTGTATCCACAATGTAGTGTGCGCATATTGTAAATTTTATATGGTTGCATATGCATATATGCATCTTGTTATTTTTTGCGCTAAAAAAGTTTTACGTGCGAAGCGCACATGCGTACGTCGAATATTTTTCATTACTGAAAATCACCTTTTGAAAAAATGCCAGTTACTCAAGATTTTCTATGAAGCTATTTTGTAAAAAAGAAAAAATTCTTGCAACTTTTTGATATCAATTAAATATTGTCACAATTATGACCTTAATCCTAACATGGTGTTGAACA